GTTTCCGCCCTCAAAATATATTAGCTAAAATAATGCATAATTAAGTGAGATCTACAGAAGCTCAAAATAAAAATCAGAACGTTTCCAAATGTTTCCAACGCATTGCAGGAGTGCTGCTTCACAGAGAGAGGGATAGAAAACCAGGCACTCTCCCTTCATATCCAAAACGAAATAATCACCTTTCGCTGACCGAATGCACCCAACTGAGCATTTAAGAAAACATTCCAAGCTATCACAAATTCCATAATAGCCTTCTACATAGACGGCATCAAAAAATGTTCAAAAACGGTGCACTGTTCGAGCTTAAAGCAACAGGTAGCAGTTTTACCTTCGACACTAATGGTGTGGAACGATGCGCTAGCCCTAGTCAAGAACATAAGAAGTGTGACTGAACAAAAAACTCACCTTGGAAAGCCGCTAGAAAGGGAGCTGAACGGCTTCGAAGTGGGCGTGGTTGGAATCGGCCGAGGGACTGCACAACCACGCCCACTTCGAAGCTGTTCAGCTCCCTTTCTAGCGGCTTTCCAAGACGGTTAGAGTAGGAAAGAACGGCCTGCATCTGCTCATGAGCAGACACCTATTTGGATGTCAAACTTCCATAAAAACAGCACCCTCCGCGAGGAAAAGTTTGGCGATGTGTGGTCTCGGCGAAATGACCCTCCCCCTCCCCACCTCTGCATGCATACTTCGGCGCCTAACGGACGGACCACAAATGACAGGGATAAGATACCATCCCTTTACCCTTTGAACTATGTGCAAACATGAGTGGTCAATGATCAACCTTAATTATAGAATCGAAGACATTTGTGAGCGACAAATGACGTCGGCTGCAGACCTGAACATTTAGAGGATCGCTAGATGTAGATTGCACGCCAACAAATAAAGGTCATCTTCCGACTATGGATTGTAGGCTTGATTTAATGACAGTTGGAAAGTGCACGCGACGAAACATGGAGATGTGATCGTGTTTAGGGGTGGGCCCGGGCTCAACACGTGTGGAATACAGACAAATGTTTCTCAGGTCCTGTGGAGACGTCTCACTTTGGCCATCTTGCCACATCGGATGTGCTCTGCCAAATAGAGGCCAATGTCAGAGATGCCTCTCAACGCTCACATAGAGCCTCGATAATAACCATAAGAGTCCCGAATGGTTGTTACGATGACGCTATCGGCTTATGTTCTTATGATAGAACGTCCAACCTCGGCATGATTACCCGTTTTTTTTTTCCGTTAGGGTTGGGTTGTGTGGGCATGCGAAGAGCTTGCCCATAGCCTCTACTGGCGTGAACCTTTGCACAGCCTTACCATGGGAAGCATCCAGGGTTGTCATAAAAAGAGTACTGCCAAAGCTTCCACAGAAATTGATATGGTCGGCCGTCAAGCGAAGCGTTACTGCAATTGCAGCTTGGCTCTCTTTTAGAATGGGCCAGAGTTGGTGGCATACGAACGCCAAAAACCATTTTCAGATTCTGTGATTTCGGTGAAATTTTCAATGCATATAATATAAATAGTGGACCCCAGAAATGTCTAACAACCTAATATTTGGGCATCCACCACTATTTCATAATCCCGAAATCTCAAGCAAAAACTTCGCTGGCACTTTGCCTACGGGAGTCAGTTACACGCCCCGGTAAGGTACAAAATTCGTTCTCAGAGTGGACAGATTTTGCGACACTTGGCTCCGATTCTGCGCCACGGCTGCTTTCACCTAATTGAGTGTAATTTCGTGTATGTGGGTCACCTGATGCCCTGAACGACTATGACACTCTCGAAGATACAAAGGAAAATGACTCTGCTCTCACCCTTAAAATCACTGGCTACCAGTCGTTAAACGATTGACTGAAAAGAACAAAATTGATTGGAGACCAGTCGAGAACTGGAAAGACTGCTTAAGGCGTGTCGAATTCTCCGCCGGACATTTCATAAATTGTGGCGCCGGAGTAGCTGCCAATTGGTTCTCAGCCGTCACTACAAAACTTGTCAGACTTTTGACTTAGTTCCAATTAACACTCACTTCTACTGCCACCCTACATCTACTCGATGTGTTCATTTCCAGAATCGAACGCTTTCACCGAATTCTCTCATCGCGTCGTCCGATACGTAGTCTCACCAAAGCGCCCTACTCCTCATGCCCGCCTTTGGCTCTGCGTGACCTACCGGCCGCCATAGAGTGTGTTTCATTAATTATACTTCCTCATCGAAAACTGAATCTGTGTACGCATCAACCCTCTCATTCTAGAACATGTAAGGTATTTTTGGTATGCTGGCTTTTAACTGAAGGCACAGCTGAGATTTGCATGGGAGAGGAAGCCGACTTGGTCACGAAGGATCCCTCTTGAATGCCTTTGAGATCATGAAAAACACTGAAGCCCATGAAATATCCTGAAACAAGAATTACACAAAACCCTTCATTTTTGGCCTATTTTCTGTGTACGAACTAAAAACGTTAATTTCTTGAAAAGCAGTTATGACCCGAGCCATTGAACTACGGTTAATAAAAATTAAATGGCTCGATGAATGTTTATTGAGAAATGTCTCATCAAAATTATTATCATCAAAATTGCGAGGTAGTGGGACGCACAAACTAAAAAAAAGAGTGAACAATGGCCACATATTTCAAGAACTTTGAAGAGCGTCTCGGCCGGAGAGCTGATCAAGATTTGGCAAAGGATAGTGGAGAAGTTTGTAATCGTAATAAAACAGACGAACAATCAGTTCCATAAGATATGGGCTCTGCCGAATTCGATCTTCAAGAAACGCTCGCGCTGCTGACTTGATCGTGCTGTGAGCAGTACGTCCGGAACGAAGCGACTCCGAAATGTAGCTGATCGCAGATTCCGATACCTTCGAATTGAGAATCAAAAAAGTAATCGAATAACTGAGCGTCATCTGAATGTCATTCCAAAGAAATCAGGGCCCCATGTTGTCCAGTGGCAAAGCGGTCTCGCGTTCATGGGATTTGTGGGCGAAGGGTCCCTCACTTTAGAGAATCTCGCCTGACTGCTGGAATACCGTAGATAAAGGATTCACTGTTACCCTTCCCCTATTTCCTATCCCACGGAAATCAGGAATCGTCCCGAATATAACATGAATTTCAAGCAAAAGACAAATACCAGTATGAAATAAGTAAGTTGGAATCGTAAAAATGAACAATAATGGACGTGCAGCAGCTTAGGTGATTAACTTGACATGAAAACGCCACGGTAGGCCAAATCAACCGGGAGAATACCTACATGGAATCAGCCACCCCAAACTTCTTCATTTCAGAGCATGTTGATGAAAGCTTTGATTTCGAAGAAAATTATTTAGAGACTCACATTTTGGGATCTTAGCAGTGGAGTTAGATCTCCCAGAAGTGACCCACTGGGATCGTTCGAGTACCTTATGAACTGATATTTGTCATAGTACGACTCCATATCGCATCGCCTGAAGTATGTACTGTCATTTCTCAGGAAACATTCGTTTAGAATAGTCAGGCTTTCGTAAGAATTGTGTTTATGGCCAAGTGTGTGTTGGCGAGGATACCCATTCCACAAACGCCTCTGTTGTTCCCGTTGAACAATTCTTCACCAGTATCGAGAACAGGGGCGGAAGTGGTGTAGTGGCAAGTGGCACGCTTACCACGCGAGCGGTCCGGGGATCAAATCCTGGGTCGTGAGTCGCCCGGGCCAACCAAGCCTTCCATCCCTCCGGGGTCGGTTAATTGGTACCAGACTTGTCTGGGAGGATAAAAACACTGACTTGTACATCGGCTGGCCCCCGCAAGTCATTGTATAGGCCACATCGCATTCAAACGCCACTACGAATGTACAAATGGAAGTAGAATGCGTGCCGCATCCCAAAAAGGGATTGATCAACGGCAAATGCTTTATCCTTTATCCTTTATCGACAACGGCGTGATGAGTATGGTTCCTTCCGTCTCTGTTAGGCCAATGATGTCGTACGTCTTTCTCACTTGCATCTTCACAAGAGCGTCCGGATGCAAGTGTTCATGCTGTAGTAGAGAAGAGTTTGTCATCCTTGTCCTTCCCC